CCCGAAGTGTAAAATACTATAGGATTTCTAACGGAAGTTTCACTGCAAAACTGTGGTGTGCAAGTTGTAAGGTCAATCATAGCAATGCTGATAAAATAGCATCAATTTTAATTTCAGTGAAATGGAATTTAGTTTCTATTGCTTGAAAACATAACAGTATTATAAAATGTCTCCATCTTCCAAGAAATTAATGCAAGTGGGGAAAGACAAATGGACATCTTGAAAACTTAGGCTTATTTCTACAGTAAACCACTTATATTTAACAAAAAGGAGTAACAAATGTTAACTTATCGTGTACAGTTCAGTGACAGAAGTTTTCCTGTTCTGTGAAAAATGCCACCATTTCAAAACGTTTCCTGTTTCACATCAGGAAGAACTTAAGCTCTCTCAAGGTTTTTAATGAAAATCATGAGAGGGGAAGAGACCATAAAGCAATCAACTTCACAACAACACTTCTTACGCAAATGTCTAAACCACTCACCTACTCAGGCTACTTATTATCATCAGGCAGGGTCCTGTAAATTCTTCCAAATTTTCTGGATTTGAAAAACCTCTTGATAAAGTTATTATCCATTTCTTTGAAGTTTCAACAAATCTTTCTTTTAAGGAATCAAACTACCACCTAGAATTGCTTCTATCAGCTTCTGTGATACAGAAACTAAATCAGGACAAATACCAGTTTGTTGTGATTCTAATCCTGAACAGCCTTAACAGGTGTATGGAAGGAGAAATTAAATATTTTAGTAAATACATAGCAAAATATTTCCTAAAATACTCTTACAGATACCTCCTCAAATTTTTTCCACTTGTACTCAATACAGGATTTCCAGGGAGAAGTAGAGGGTCCTGTAAATCATCTTTCCAGACAACATACAAAACCATCTATAACCAAGGGTCATGCCGCACAGAAAATGTTTAACTGATGAATATAGTTCTGCATGACTACAAAGGTAATAAACAGCTCTGATTAAAAAAGGTTGCCTCTGTATCAGTGGAAGGGATTTTTATCACAGCAAAAATTAAACCTACTTGGCTGCTACAAGCAACTGGAAAAAAACTAGTATCACATAGCAGATGTTCAATAGATCCTGCTTAGTTCCCTATGAACCACTAAATTTGTTTTTACAAGTCTGTCAGGCTTGACAGACATCAGCACAAATGCAACACATGAAACCTACATGCATATATGCAACCGATACCATATACTCCTGCCCATGGCTCCCACCTAAAAGATGCATAGAGGAAAATCCTATAAAATCTGGGGATACCTATGGTACCAGGCAACAGAACCAACAACAGACTAAAGCAAGATTTGTTTTGTTCCTCATCCCCATATTGTAAAAAGGCTAGTAGGAGGAATTCAAGTCTCATGAAAAACCCTAATTTCTGTACTTTCTAAGTGCTTGTGTCAAGCATGCAGAACCCTGAAGTTTCTTGTAAGTGAATAACCAGGCGCTTAAGAGTCGTTTCAGCTTTTGGATTTTACCCTGGTGTGCAAGGTCATTAAGATTGAACTAGACTGTTTGGATAGGAAACAGAAATAAACCTTCAGCAAAACATGAGTCTTATGCTAATGAGATACCCTCCTAAGCAAACATGTTATACCTCAGTGTATTTTGCTTCCACTTAAGAAATTTTTCTTCACAAAAGCAAAGTTTATAGGTGAATCTGATGAATGATGTGTATTTTTAGGAACCACAAGACAGGTTTTCTCTGTTTCTATCACTGCCTTAAAATGGTCTGAAACAACTTCTTAATGATTAGCTAATTTAGTTGACACACTCACTCAGTATGGACAAGGACCAATCACCTTAATTAAAAAAATATTTTTTTTTTTTACACTAAAAAACCCACCCTCATTTGTTAATCTTCATTAAACCATTTTGAAATATATGACATATATTACCATAGGATCTACAGTGGAAAAAAAAAAAAAAAAAAAAAAAATCGCAGAATAGCAAATCTTCCATGGCATTTATGATTACATGCTTCCCTTTTTTATTTACTAATTAACAACAGAGAGGGTGTAATGGGAAGGGAAGGGAAGGAAAGGAAATAAAAAAGGAAAGGAGAAGAAAAAGGAGAAAAAAATATAAATAACCCCACTAGAAGTAATACTAGTTTAGTAATATCCCCAAAATAGGAAGAGGTAAGTATTAATCACAGAGTAAAAAAGTTAAAATTGTTGAAGAGAACAAAAAAATACACTTCAATGCAAACTTAAAAGAATTTAAGCTGAACCATTTTCAACATGGCAAATGCCTGTCATACATACACTGGCACACTCTGGGACTACATGACATGAGCCACAGTACAGAAGTACATACAAAATCCATCCACCATACTTACAAGTAAAAGTGGTTTAACAAATGCAGAAATTTAAAAAAACAGCCAAGATTAAGCTCTGATGAATCCAACTTATAGTTTTTCACTGAGAAAAAGAACATCAAACCCTTTAGATGACATGAAGCCGACTAAACTTTACTCTAGTAATTCCTTAATAACTGCAAAAAAATGGTTGTGATGCATCCCTAGTTAAGAAATACTCTTTTGCACTTTGACAAGCATGCAACTTCTTCAGAAACATGCTAGCTTGCAGTTTTGAAGCATATTGTCACTTTTCCACTGGCTCATCTTCAGAAAAAAAAAAAAAAGGGGGGAACCATTGTGGGAAATTAAACAAAATTATAACAATGGTGCCAGTTATAAGCAAGTCAGGTAATACACTGTCTTGCCTTTTACAATTGCTCATTGAAACTCAGGGCTAACATTAGCAAGGCAAATGAATTCTCAAAGAAATCAGCTTATTAAAATCAAGCCTGTATAACTTCTATCAACAAACATCTCAGTGTCTCAAGGACACAACTATTTCCCTTCAACACTTCTAACAGGAGACAGTAACTTAAGATCATATTACAATACCAGGGACTTTCTTAGACTTAAGCACCCTGTGCAACATAATCATATAGCTTTCAGAAAGATACCTAACATGCTTTTTCCTCTACCAACAAAATATGCTATTCTATTTAAGTATCTACAGACAAAACACCTATGTCCATGCAACAGCAATTCTAGTACTGTTTGCTTATTTAGACAAAATGGAAACTAGCTTCATAGAACCCTAGTAAACATGGGAAGAGGCAGAGTTTAAAAAAAAAAAAAAAGACCAAAAAAAGACAATACAAGATTCTGGAATAATACAGATAGCTCTGTTTCTGCTTCATATGTAGATGTCTGCACTGCAGAGCCAGGAAGCTTTCCATGGGTAATAAGCTATAAGTATATAAGCAAGGATGCACTTCTTAACTTTGCTTTTTCATACCCAAGTTATAATTCGATTTGTACTGAGAAATTACTGATTTGTTGCTTTTTCACTTCTCTTTAGCAAACCGTCAACTTTGATTTTAGCCAGTCAGTGTCTCTGAGCATTAGAAAAGAAAACAAACAAAAATTCCAAGAAAAAAATCCTTCAAATGTCAAGCATGTACTAGTATAACAATTTCAGAATGACATTAAATGCACTTAGGAAGGAGATTCTCAAGTCTGCTTTTAGAAGCACAGAGACATGTAGGGAGAAAAGACTCCAAAAATAAAATTCTGAAGTTGAAACAACCTAACATGTGAGGCACTGCAACTACTAATTGTTAGTAAAGACCACCTACTATTGGATGGTTAGGTAATGGGTGGAGCCCACCTTGTTGCACAGACACTATGGGATGAACTGTTCGGGTTTTAATTCTTTTCATGAAAATACATACGGTGTTGCTAATTTAGAGTGGCTAGAAAAATCAATGTAAAGTTTTCACTAACACATGATCTACAGGACATACAAAGTAAGTTAGAATTACTATTTGCTCTTTCGTTTTACCAATTACACTGAACTAAAGATAAAACACAACTTACCTTTGCATACTAACTTGCACTTTGCTGACAAGCAGGCTTACATAGACTTCCATGAAATTTAGTCTCTCTAAAAAAACTCAGTTGTTATGGAGATTGCTCACTTTTTTATAAAAACAAAAGTTAACAGTGCCAATGTTTGTCTGCCTTAATCTTCAAGCACTCTGAAGTAACAGAGAAATATGAACTGCTCAAAGCTGGGTTCTCCTGCCAGGATTTCACTGTTAAAATGTACTGTGTTCTTTCACCTAAATGTCAGGATAACAAGGGAGACCCTCCCTTCAGTTTTGGCTCTCCAAGGCCAAAATAAACAGTGGCTCTTGATCAGTGTCTACATAGGTAGACATCTGTGCCCAAATTCTATGCACAGGGTCCCATGGAGACTTCTGAAGTCCAGAAAGCAGAATGACCTTGCTACTTTAACAGAAGTAACATAGATAGAGGCAAGAACTCTGCCTACAACAGGAAGAGTTTTCACTTTGTAAGTGTCCTTCTGACGTATGCACCAGGTCAAAGAGCTGCGGACTCACTGAAAGACTGAGAAGATTAATTCTTTGTAAGCTATGCATAAAAAAGATTGAACAGACCATTATGATCAACCTGAGTAGGTTACAAATTTCAGCAAAGAAATCTCAACTCAGATACTCATCCTCATCTGAAAGCACTTCTGGCAGGTTTTAAGCATTCCAATACCACCCGTAAGAACCTTGCATAAGGGCGTTAATACTGATGACACAGTAGATTTTCCAAGGACTCAGAGTAATTTATTTTGTAACTATTTTCCCCCAACTCTTTTGCTCAGTGCTCCTGCCTGAACTATCCCTCCACGGCTGAAAGACAGGAGGCACAACAGTTCAAAAAGACCGTGTTTTTCCAGATCACCATTCAACCTCTCCTGGCATTCATGACCTACTGTTCTCCCCACTCCTGCCGATCCTCAGTTTGGAAAACACTGCCGTACGACTTGGAAGCTGCTTGTGGTGAAAGGCCTCGCTGTAGCTACGTGCTGTTGAATGTCACCCGGCGCGGTAACGTGGGGCTGCACGGACCCACGTCCAGCCGGAGGAGTAGCACACCTTTAGCCAAGCACACATTTTCACCTCGCAGCATTATCCGTGCACACCAATCCTCTGCTACATCCCACGGGAAAAGCTCCTAGACATGCGCCATGATCCCTCCCAAGCCAGTAAGGGGTCTCCGCTCCTAAGAGCCCACGGAAACCGGCAAAACCTCGGCAAAGCCGACCGGGGCTCCTCGGCGGGGCTGCGGGCAGCGGCGCCCCTGGTCGCCCGGGGAGGAGCAGGAAGCGAGCCCGGAGCGGCTCCCAGCCGCTGCTCCCAGCCAACCCCCCGACACACCCCCT